ATTCCATTATGCTAACACTTTCTCACTATCTTTTTGAATCTTTCCCAAGCTTCGAAGACCATTTCAGTATACTTCTGGCAGAAGTTGTAGATTTCCCTTTTGAATTTCACTATTTTGCAGCTGCGAAGTACTTGTCCAGAAACATTTTTGTCATATCTTCCCATGTCCTGATCGACCCAGTTGGTAAGCCTCGAAGCCAATGCTTCACGTCATCCTTCAGTGAAAAGGGGAATGCCCTTAAGTAGACTGCATCTTTTAACACTCCATTGTACTAAAAGGTGTTCATGATTTCCTCAAAGTTTATTAAGTGGGTGTTAGGATCTTCGTTCGCCTTCCCTTTAAAGACACAATTGTTCTGGATGGTTTGAAGCAAACCTTGCTTCATCTCAAAATTATTTGTTGCTGCGGGTAGAGATCTGACACTTGACAATCCCTGATTGTAGATTGGTCTGACATAGTCACCTAATACTCTCCCAGGACTGGGAGCCATATTTTTAAACTGCTCTTCAACCAGAGGTCGTTTTAGATGGAATCTTCAATCCCCATCTTCTTCAACAGTTTCATCATCAGCTTTAAGTGCTGCTTCAGTTGCTATCCGTGCAGCTTATTCTCTCTATTACGCTGCCCCTCTTGCAGCTAAATCTGCTCCATCATCATTGTACTTAGCCATGTGTTCTTGGGATGAAGATTGCCCCAAGAAATTTTCGGTGAGTTCTTTCTCTTTCTTTAACTGTCGCAGATGCTTTTCCACCTCTGGATCAGATGGAATCACTTCTTTTGAAGAAGATTGAGTTACACACCAGAGAAGTTAAACTTGTTACATGCACACAAGTGAGAAAAACGTGAATACAAGAAAATAAAATAGGTTCCTGAATTAGTGCCAAAAATTATTCTGAACACTTTTGATTTCCAATCCCCGCAACGGTACCAAAATTTGACGAGCACAAAATAAAATACGAAATTGATGCTCACTAGCCAAAGATAGTATAGTTTAATTATCGTCTCCACAGGGATTGAATTCAAATAATGTTCAAGTAATTTCTGGTTTAACGCTATTCCGGATGATTAACACTTTGATTGGATGATTATGAACTAAATTTAACTATTAAAATTAAAACAATTAACAATTAATCAAAGAGAACTAGAGAGTAAGCAATAAATTTAATAAGGATTTTGACATGATAGGTGGAAGACTGTTATCCTGAATATGACACTGTTATATTTCACTCTTGAGGTTCTATCGATTCTCATGAATTCAATAGGTGATTAGCTTATACTTCTGATTCAGACTCCTCTCTCGATTAAATCTAAATCTTCCAAACAAATTAATGTGAAGTGCGGTGAAACTCGCAAGAATCTATTGATAGGAATGATATAAGAAAAACTTCTCGCAAATATTTCTTAATCTTAATTTAAATGGTAACTCAAAAAGCTCTCTCGATTACTTCAAAGGATCACCAAAATAAACTAAGGCATACAATACAATAATATTCAATAAGATGTTTCTCTTTCGATTAAACACTATAAAGAATAAAATTACAACTAATATTAAAGCTCTTCCAATAAATTCAAGCAATTAAACAGTAGTCAAATCCATAAACAACAATCAAGTTACCAAATCATGTCAAACCCTAAGGTAAAGTATTCCATAGATATGAAGAAAGTCATCACAAATAGAGTTAAAGAATAAAAAAACAGTAATCCAACGTAACAATCCAAACTCGCATATTGAATTGGTAGAAGGAGGATGAAATATTGAGTCTTTAAGCCTCCAATACTCTCCAAAAGCTCCCAAGGTTAAAAGTCCCTTAAAAAACGTATTTTTAATTTATTTATACCATGTAGGAACGGGTCCGGACAGAACTAGCCTTTCCAAGCTGAAGTAGGAAACTACTATGAGAATTTTGTACAAGCACAGCGCGCCCCGCGCCTGTGGGTTTTATTAAAGGCTTGAAATTTCTGTCAGCAGGCTCCACTACACTGCCGCGCCGCCCCATGCGACATGGCAGTGTAGTTATCTCGGAGTAACTTGTTTCTTTCACTTTTTGATATCCATGCTTGGTTATCGACCCCCGAACGCGATTCCGACTTAATTATCTGTGCTTCTACTCAGACTTCAAAGCTCCAACTTGTTCGACTTAGCTCCAAATTATCTTTTTTACTCGAAAGCATTTCCTACAAGGTATAAAATATGTAATAAGTACAAATCGCCATCATTTAAGCTCAAACGCAAATCAAGTACAGTAATTAGAGTGCAAAATACGACTAAAACACTGATTTCTAGCCTATTATCACGGTCATCACAATTATAATGGGCTGCTCTCAAATGCGAGGCTCACAATTGCGAAGGAGACCTCGCATTTTCAAAGTGTAGGAGGGGCAAGCCATCTTTGCAATTTGCAACCTTCGCAATTGCGCACTAGGTGTCACATTTGCGACTTCTGAGCTTATGCGGCTTTATCGCATTTGCAAATACTGGTTCATATTTGCAAGCTGTGCAATCGCGAATCTTGGTTTCCAATTGCGACATCTACAACTGGGTAAAAATAGGAGATTTTTGGATTAATTCTTTTTTTATTTTTGAGACTTTGTGGAGGCGATTTTTGAAGAGAATTTTCTTCTCAGCCTCAAAGGTTAGTAACTTTAATGTATTTTTGATCAATTTTCATTACTTTTCATATTTTTTCATCCATAGATGTAGATTTTTATAGAATAAAAATACGATTTTTGGGTAGAAGCTTAGGATTTTACAATTTAGAGATTTAGACCTCGATTTAAGGTCGGGTCTCGAAACAAAATACATAGTTAGATTTGGGTGAGTGGATAATCGGGATTTGATCTTGATTTCAACCAAGTAGGCCCGAGTTAACTTTTTGTTGACTTTTCCAAATATGTTAAAGCTCGAACCTTTTTGATACTAGGGTAGTTTCTAAAGCTTGTTTGACTTATTTGCATGTTGGTTGGCTAGATTCGAGTGGTTTGGAGGCTTGTGCTAAAGAAAAGGTGATTTTGGAAGGTCCGATTATTTTGGAAAGAGGTAAGTGTTTTGGTTAACCTTGATTTGCGGGAATTAGGATGTAATTGGGTCTATATATTATGCACTATATGTATTGGGAGCGGTGTATATGCAAGATGGAAATTACATATGCGTTTACAGTGGATAAAGCATGCGGGTAAAACTAACCTCATTTATGTCATGTCACTTTACGTATTATGTTTTCCATGCTTTTCTTGAGAAAAGAATCTATCGAAAATAGTCTCTCTACTTTCACAAAGTACGGGTAATGTCTGAGTACACATTACTTGTGCGACCACATTTGGTATGTTGGGAGAATCCATTTCCTTCCAAAATTTAGCTTTAGCTTCTACATTTAGTTTTATTTGTAGATACTGATAACATTGATTGTGTCCTTCCCCCACAAAGCCTTATTGTAATAATCCTATTCCCAATTTATTTTACTTCTACAACTTTATCTTTAAGTTCTGGTTTTACAATAATTCCCACTCCATTCTTATCTTTATCTATCCAATAATACTATAGTTTATTATTCGGGTAACCTGTCTCTCTAGCATTTTGCCCTGTCCATTAGTTTCTTGAAGGCATATAATATAAGCTCTCCTTCTTTTTAAGATATCCACTATTTTGTCGACTTTCCTCACAAAGTGCCTATATTCCAGTACCTACCTGAATCCGCATCTATTGTACTAGCTTTTAATCCTCATTGTCCATGATGCGAAAACTCTTTTTTATTTTGCACCACATCCGGGTACTATGTGACAGAACTAGCTTCTTTACCCACACTCGTACATGATGTGGGAACCCTTTCATATTTTTCACCATATTCGGACGCTAGCATGGCAAAACTAACTTTTTTACCCATACCCATAGTCATCCATGATGTGGGAACCCTTGCTCATGCTTTCTCACACCCAGGCGGCGATGTGGTGGAACCCCTTCATCACATTCGAGTGTCAACATAACAAGTGCCTAGGTGGGCACTTTCCAACAATATCTGTATTATGAGAATTTATCATGAATTGACATGTTTTATATTGACTGTCAACTTATCGCTCCTCTTCCTTTATACGAGTATGGGACCGACAATACGTGCAATCCCAGACATGCAGAGCTACGCTAACAAACAGTGACAGAGCCACCTTATAGGAAGGGGTGTCAAATAACATCCATTCGCTTGAAAAATACACTGTGTAGCTAGGTAAAAAAATAAATTATATGTATATATACTATGTATTGACTCTCNTATATATATATTGAATATTTGGCTAGTGGTTATAATTATTTTAAATCAAGAGAATTTGTAATCTGACGTGGGTGACAAACGGGCGGGTCAGGTTGGATATGAGCGGGTTAAAATGGGTAATGCAAAAACGGATAAATTATCCGACCCACCCCATATTTCATACGGTTAACCAACAGATAAGGTGGATATCCATATTATCTATTGCTTTTTGAATTTGATCACTTTTGGGAAAATACTCAGTCTCTCAAACTTGAAGAACCCTAAATTTGAATCTTTGCAAATATAAAAGCTAAACTCATTGGTTATCCATTGATTATCCATTTTTAAATGGATATTATGGATCAATGGATCTTATCTATATTTGATTAATTTTTAAAAAGTTAATTATCCAACCAATTATTTAGTGTATAACATGAGTGGATAACTATTTTTTTTTTATCGGTGTCACCGCTAGTTACATGCATGATGCATGCTGATTAATTAGTGTCGCATGGATTTGTTAGCCTTTATGGATTTTTTGTTTCTTTTCAAGCAGTGCCACATGAATATTATGCAATTTAAGCTAATAAATGGGCAGCCGACTTGATTTTCCAGAACTAAATTTAACATTTTCGCATTTATATTTTCTATAAAATCCAGATATAGTTGAGTTAATTTTTCATTACAAACTCCGGCAATGTTTCATAATTTCTTACAGTGTATGAAACAAAATCATAATGAAAACAATAACTGCCAGAATTAGTTTGGAAACCAGTAAAATACCTTACCTAGTAATATCCTTTCACTAATATCCCCACTAACAGTATACATTTTCTGATTGATAACAAGTTCTTTACCGTTCTATTGAAAGTTTACTTGTATAGAGACCTCTCCAAAAGGTAACTTTAATTTGACCGATCTCCCTTCTTTTGCGATCAGTTTTACTACAGCACACGCTGCTCTAGCTAATTGTCCACCCGTACCAAGGGTGTTTTGATCTACATCTACAAGGCCGTGTAATGTACACGATCCTATTACAAAGTGGTGCAGAAAAATTAGCAATAAGAGAGAAATCAATACACTATTTATGCCATAGGATATGTCACTAACCATTACTCAAACAACCTGCTGCTAACTCCTGCTCTATATAGATGCAAACCAGACAAGGTTGCAACAGTAATCTTGGTATTTGCAGATGCAAATAAAACATCGCCTTCAGTAACTACCTTGTCCGATGATGTGGTCATCGTCCCCTCTCCTCCCATGACCAAAAAAATGGAAGGACCAGGAATGGATGGAAATACAGTAGTTGATTGTTGAGGAAGAATGCAACGATCAACCTCGAATTCATCAAAAGGAGGGAGGTATCTCATTGTGTATGGATTAACTACAGTACCCTTCAGAATTTCGGGAAAGCCCTGCCCAAAAAGAAAAAGACAGATTCAGATTCATTGGTAAACGGATATCCAATGCCATGTATTGCATTTTAGAGAATAAATTGGCGATAACCCAATAAAATCTCCTCATAATGAACAAATGGGCGACCTAAGCGCCCAAGTAGAACATTTCCCTGTGAAATCTGGGCTCTTAAACGATATACACCTTCAGCACCACCAATCATCTCATTATTGTTGAATCAATTCTTTGATGGGATTCATAATGAATGAATATCTCAACCAAATCCAGCCACTATATTGAGCTTAAAACAATTCAACTCTTGCCTAACCTATAGTTGGTCAAACTCCTAAGAAGCACATAATAAGGTTGCTGCTTTATTCAAGGGTTCAGTCTGCAATACCTGTCTGTAAGTGAGCATTGAACAGAGAATTTTAACATCTCGGTGCTTTGGAGTCAGACCGGCACGTATCACGTTGTCTGAATTTGCCATGCATTCAACAGACTCACCATATAAATATGCATGAGGTTCATTTGAGCCTAAATATAAAGCTTCACCAGGGTTGAGTTTCACATAATTTAACAAGTATGCAGCTAAGACACCAACATCAGCTGGATATTGCTTCTCAAGTCTTAAAATCAGTTGTTCTTTGTCCGTTAGGTGCCTGGCCTACAACACGGAAGATAAATGCAAATCCATATAAATAAGAGACAATGAGCAAGATGAACTTAAGCAGCAAGAGTTACATCTAATATATTTCACGAGACCATAGGCAGTTCAATTCCACCACATAATTTACATAAGAATAACATATGCATCAACAGAAGTACTAGCAACTCAAATCCAAAATGTAACCCGTAGTTTCCAGAATGACAGAATTTGATGCAGATAAAGTCAAGTGTCACTTTCGTGGCAACGAAAAAGGTTTTGACGCATCCAAGGTTCAACCATATAGGAAATAAAGGAAAACTGAATCATCAAATTTGCAGTGACGCATATAGCAACTGAGATGGAAACAAATCCAAACAGATCAGCTCCTTGGTAGGAATTGCACAACAAATGCAACTTGATGGAGGTTATAACAGTTACGTTTCAGCTGATCCATACACAGTTAATGTGGAAGAGAACAAGTCACTTTTCTTATTTCCGTTTTAATCTGGGAATGAACAAGGGTAAGATAGATCAGCTGTATCTATAAAATACAGAAATCCCATGATCAAATCAATAAAACATTCTGATACTCTCAACCCTCACATTTTCACAAATCGGCCTTACATTTTCTGCCAGTGCAAACCACCACCATGTAAGAACGACACATGTAAGTTAGTAGAGGCACGCAAGCATGTCTTTGTGTTAGGAGATAGGATTAGGACAAAAGCACATAAACTAAGACAACAAAGATCAAACCTTCCCAAAAACTCAAGAGAATTACTGTCCACATGAACGAGTTTACTACCATGCAGAAGCACAAAAAGGAGACCTCCAATTAATGCCCAAGTAAAACAAAAATAGTTATACTTTCACTTGATCATGGATCAATTTGGATTACCTGATCTTCAATGTTTAGGCGACTGATCAGCTTGGCTAACACTTCCGCAATCACATCCTTGCGCACTGACATTATGTCAGTAAATGCTGATTGTAGCACTAATCTAACTTCCTCCTCCCCATCATCCTCATTCAAGTTTAAGATTTGCTCCGCTTTTGCATTACCAATCACTTCGACAATCTCGGGCGTAGTTTTAACAGCCACCTTGAGCTCCTGGAAAAAATTCAATATACTTATCATCAAAATCAATTTTTTTTTCTGGAAAATAGTCATGCAAGTTAAATCCATTCCATCAACTCAAGTCAAGGAGCACAATAACTTTGCTTCTCAAGAAAATCAACCACATGAATAAGGTATACAACTGCCCCACTGACTATCTTGGTTCTTGGATCCCGCTCTATCAACCCTACCCCATTTCCAGATCACTCAATACAAGAAGCTTGTCAACCAGAATAAACTTGTCTTCTATGTAGCTGTTTATATCTGCAGTCTAACATAAATTCCAAAACTTTTGAGCACTGAAAAAGAAAGCAAAGTATGCTAGTTTCTTAACATGTACGCCAGCCGGAACACCTAGTTAGCAGCCTTTCATTTCACCTAGAGAAAGGAGGGATGAGAAAAGTTATTTGGAACTCATTTTCCATTCTATATTTTTTCTCCCTTAAGTTTTAAAGTTTTAACATCTGGTTGTTGGGGAAGGAACAATAAGCTCAAATTTATTTTTATTATTTCTTAAAGGGAGTGTTCAAATAGTACAAATGAAACAAATATCTAAGCTCAAACAATTCATGATAAATTTTTTAATAGGACAGGTTTACAATCAGCTTAGAATACACCAATGTGAGCTTCAAACTCATGACTTTGCCAATGAAGAGGCCTGGCAAAATATTAGATTCCACAATGAGAGGTTATGTGTAAATTTCAGCAACCAAATGATCTTATTATCTATCATCACTGGGGAATGGATCGGTTGGGAGTAAGAAAGAATAATAATAAGCTTATTATTAACTAAACGAACAAAAACTACAAGAATGTACCTCAAGACTGACAAACCCACATAAAGCCTCAAATTCTGTCAGTGCGAAAGCCATCTCGGGTTTGTGATTGTCATCCTTGTAAACAAACGGCTGCTCTTTATGTAGAGAAGTGGCCAACACCTTGTCTGGATGGGCCTGTATCGACAAAGCTTTGGCAACAGATAATACCTAAAAAGCAAGAAATGTTAAGAAATCTACTTAACCATACAGAAACACAAGTATAAAGACATCTAAAACTGATGAAATTAATCTGAATTGTCCCCTAATCTGGATTTTCTGAGAAGCGGACCATGTCAATATCAAAGACCATATTTGGTGTCGCACTAGTAGTTATTATGCATTAGTATACTGCTACTAGAGAGCTGATAAAAATCACAACTTTATAGATTTGCTAACAGAGCAATCTAGTATTCCTTGATTTATATTGAATTGTATGAACCATCTCATCCAAAAATTAAGCATGATAAAATAGAGGTTGGGTTTCAGTGGCACCACGAACCCATCAACAAAATATCCTATGTACTACCCAAGGGCAGAGGCGAACCCAGGATTTGAGCGCGACGGGGGCACTAATGTCTTTTACATATGCCAATTAGTAGTGATAAAGTTCAGCGTGTAACTCTTTGAAAACTTAGCGATTATGATAGCTTATCATCAAAGTACAAACTCTCAGTTACCATTGTCAAAGTCGACATATGTTGCTGCTTCGTCGAAAGTGATTGTTGACGGGACATAGTTTGTATTTTTCTACTTGTTGAGAGAGGAGCTACACTTTGAGGCTTTCTATTTTAAGGGAGGGATTGGGTTTTTTGTTGTTGTTGATGTTGTATTATCAAGTAGTATTAAATCATAATTGAAGTCAAAAAAGTAATTAATAATAAAAAAAGTAAACCAGTTGACTATTAAGTACTTATAAATTATGGTAGGAATCAATGAGTGAAGCAAACAATAACAACAACGACCCAGTAAAATCACACAAGTGGGGTATGGGGAAGATAGTGTGTACGCAGACCTTATCCCTACCCCGATGGGGCAGAGAGCATGTTTCCGATAGACCCTCGGCTCAAGAAGACGGAAAAGACGAGAAGAGACAATATATCAGTACCGTCAACAAAAACTATAAAAATAATAACAGTATCATAAGAACCAAAAAATATATGACATGCAATAACAATAACCAGTAATTAAGGCCCGGTGCTATGAAAAACGGAAAGATAGTGTGAACACAACATTAACCACTAGCCGACTAGGATCTACCCTATCAAACTAGCCTCACCCCCGGTTCGAAGTAGAAAAAAACTCGACTACCTCCTAGCCTACAACCCTAATTCTCGACCTCCACACCTTTCTATCAAGGGTCATGTCCTCGGAAATCTACAGTCATGCCATGTTCTACCTGATCACCTCTCCCCAATACTTCTTAGACCGCCCTCTACCTCTTCTCGTATCCCCCAAAGCCAACTGCTCACACCTACTCACCGGAGCGTCAGGACTTCTCCTCCGCACGTGCCCGAACCATCTGAGTCTCGCTTCCCGCATCTTGCCATCCACAGGAGCCACGTCCACCTTATCCCGAATATCTTCATTCCTAATGTTATCCATCCTAGTGTGTCCGCACATCCACCTTAACATTCTTATTTCTGCTACTTTTATCTTCTAGATATGAGAGTTCTTAACCGACCAATACTTTTCCATACAACATGACCGGTCTAACCACCGCTCTATAAAACTTACCTTTGAGTATCAGTGGCACTTTCTTGTCACACAGGACTCCGGATGCTAGCCTTCATTTCATTCACCCCACCCATATACGATGTTCGACGTCCTCGTCAATCTTGCTGTCCCCCTGGATAACCGACCCAAGGTACTTGAAACTACCTCTCTTGTGGATGACTTGTGATCCAAGCCTCACATCCATGCCCACTTCCCTCGACTCGGCGCTGAACTTGCACTTCAAGTATTATGAAACCCTTAGACTCAAGGGCTTGTCTCCAAACCTCCAACCTCTCGAATAAAGTGAAGCAAAAATGTTAATAATTTTAGCTACCAAGTTTTGATCCTAAGTCCCCAAGCACGTAGTGAAAGTTCAGCCATACACTCTACCAAAGCTACCATCCAGCCTTTTGTGTTTTTTGGGGCACCAGTATATTGTTAAAAGGGTCCTCTATGCAGTGGCGAAGCCACATGGTCACATTGACCACCCTTCGTCGAAAAATTGCATTATTTATATAGATAAAATATTACGTTTTAGAGTTATATAACACATATTGAACACCCTTTATCAGTAATTATTTTTTACTTCTTTTAAATTTGAATACCCTTGGGAAAATTTTTAGCTTCGCCACTGCCTGCCTCTATGTATACACTATTTTTGCCGAGACTAACGAGTTCCGGTTACCCCTCTACCTCATATGTAGGTCCGCCCCTGCCCAAGGGTGTGGACTAGTGGTAAACAAAGTAGATGCGGACCTTGAATACAAGGGTTCAAGTCCCAGGCAGAAAACACTAGGTAGTTTCTTCCTATCTGTCATAAGCATCGAGAGATAGAGTTACCAGGTAATTGTATTAGTGGGAGTAAGTAGTCAAGATATGTGCAAGCTAGTTCCAACAATGCAGTCACGAAAAGTACCATATGTGCTGCTTAAGGGTGTAGTCTAGTGGTCAACAAAGTGAGTGCAAACCTTGAAGATAAGGGTTTAAATCCCAGATAAAACATCAAGTGATTTCTTACCATCTGTCTAAGCCTTGATGCGCAGAGTTATCCGTTAACTGATATTGGTGGAGGTAGCAGGTATCCAGTGAAATAGTCAAGGTGTCTGTAAGTTGGTCCCGACACCACTACGTTTAAGTAATATATACTATTAGTGTAAAGAAATTTTTACACTATTAAGTCATCCAAAAGATATCTGTAGGTAAGCCTCCTTAAAATGTGAGATTTGTAATCTTGAAAATAAGACAAGCTACCTGCTATAACGGGTAAAGGCTGCATATATAACTTAAAACATTAAAAATATACCCGAGTTTAAGTTATATACTATGTTAGTGTAAAGAATATCTACAGGTAAGCCTTAAGACAGATTACCTGCATCAGTAAAGAATATCTACATCAGGTAAAGTTGACCTTATATAACTTAAACTCTAAACAACCAAATATAATGGAAATCCGCGAAAATGAACCAAAAAAGAAAATAAACATTTCAAGAACAGAGCAAACCTTGAAGAGAAAGGGAAGGTTGGTACCCCATTTCTTAACAACATGATCTCCAAGAACACGAGGATTCCTTTCAATCCAATCCTTCAATGTCACCTTTTCACCTTGCACAACGTACGATGGGCCGGATTCATGGGTGCCCATCCAAAACTCAGCATAGGGCTGGTCCAAATCAATTTCGATTCCAGTATTTCGATAATAGAGACGTGCGACAGTGGATTCACGACCAATGCGGCCCCAATCTGAATTCTTAACGCAACAGATCAACTTGATTAACGACCCATCCCCATTCACTCCCTCCATAGAATAATGTTTGGGGCACTGTTGAAGGTTTCATTGCGCTATTATTGTAGAGTCACGCATGGCGTTTAATTAATTTATTATGCAAAAGATTTGAGTAGGTGGGATTCAGATTAACAGTTTTAATAACGCGGAAGAAATGGGAATCGTGTGAAATATGCAGAAGTGAGAACCAGAAAAATGAAAAAGAAAGAAAGAAATCAGATAGTCTTAAATTGGTTATTGGCATTAACTAACTCGGAAGACAAGTTTTATCTTAGTACAAAATGTTTCATGAATAATATTTTACTAACTTATACTCAAAATTATGAATATATAATATTGGTGATATATATAGAGTAAATCAAATATGGGGCATTCAAAGTAGATCCACACTTCTAAGTTTTATGAGTTATGATGTCGTTTTGTTAAAAACTATTGAGTTAATGTGAATATGTAACATTTTACTAGATTAGCCTATATGCATACATTGGTGCATCTAGTATAATTTGTAGGTTTATTGAACAAAATAATTCTCACTCGAACTTCATATATGTTTAAAAAATTCGCTAAATAATTACAAAATAATACATTTATAACTTTGTAAATCAAATAAGTTATGATAGTATCTTGAACTCAAACTCATAAGATTTAAATTTTGGTTCCGTCTATGAGGACACAAGTATACTCCCTCCGTCTCAAATTAACTTTCGTGTTTCTCTTTTACACTTTCCTTAAGAAAATATTAAATAGGAAAGACTTTTGACTATTTTATCCTTACTTATGTCTTAAAATATAATTTCTCTTCATTTAATACTTACTCATAATTAAAATATTTGTACTCTTCAAGAACAATTAATATTAAGGGTAGAATAGAAAAAAATAATTAATTTACTCTTGAACTTCTAAAATGACAAATAGTAATTTGAAATAATTATTTTTAGAAATAATGACAGTTAATTTGAGACAGAGTATAATTAAGAGCAATTTCACCTATTAAGACGTTATACTCACGTGACTTTTAATATTTATTTAGTCGGTATCACCTCGAACCAAGTCTTTAATTGTTCAAAAATCGAGTTTAGTCCAAGTATTTACTTGTTTACAAAATTCGAGCTAGAGTTGTAAAACAAACATTGGTCAGATTCAATAGCACATAGAGATTCTCAAGTTTAATGATTTTGTTTTTTGTAGGTTGGAATTTGGTTTCAAGTGCCCCAAGCATGTGACTTTTCCAGACCATTAATTTAGATGTTCACAAGTTAAATCAGATCTATCTTTTAGTTTAAAGAATTGATCGTTCTTCAAATCAAATCAGAATATTCTTTTGCAATCCAAAATTAAAAAAAAAACATAAATAAATCTTACCGAAAAGGTTATGCAAAATTTCCCCAAAATTATAAATACCTTTTCTAGTTTTAATGTCTAAAATGTCTATAAAGCTATTAACTGAAAAATATAAACTAAAAAGTACTTCTACAAGGAGGGCGAAAAATGAAAAATAGAATAGACAAGGCATTATGTGTTTTGTTTTGGGAAAGGTATTTCCAAGATTACACCAAATATTAGTAATTACTACAAATAATAAAAATCTTGATTAATCCAAAAATGCATATAAACTTATAAGTTTGGGGGTGACCTATGATTCTTTTTTGTTTTGCCGATTGTGGCTCGTAGGCACACGAGTAATTAGCAATTTTGGTGTCTACCAAAGGGCGTACACAAGCTTAAAAAGTGTGTATGACCTAGTTTGACCAACTTAAACAACATCATAGGAGTTACGCTCCCGTTTGACCATAAATTTTGGTTTCACTTTTTCAAAAAGAAATTTAAAAATTTTGTTTGTTTACGAAATATTATCATATTTTGGGAGAAAAAACTTCAAATTTTTTTAAGTTCCTAGCCAGTTTTTGAGTGAATTTTTCTTCCACTCATAAAACTTCAACTTTTCTTCAAATAAAATGCATGTCCAAACCAGTGTTGTTAAAGGCGCGCTTAAGCCCTGAAGCGAGACTCAAAACATGTTGAGCGCTCCGCCTCGCTTTGTGGGCACTACAGTGTTGCATCAAGACTCTAAACCATATTTGTCCCTGCCAATGAGTGTAATCCTGAAAAGACGATACTAAATAATTGATACTTCACTTTATCATAATTTTTTTCCAATTTCTTTGTCCATATATTTGTTATTCATGCTTATAATTATTGGTGTTAGACTACATATACATATTTTTACTCTTTCTCTAGTTGCGCCTTTTTTCATTAAAACACACGCTTTATTTGCGCTTTGCACTTAATGCCCCAACGGACCTTGGAGCTTTTTTTGCGCTTTTCGCCTTTGATAACACTGGTCCAAACACAATTTCTAACTTCCAAAAATTATTTTTCAACACAATTTCAAAAACTTTTTTCAAGTTTCAATGAAATCTATCTCCAAACACTAACTGTGTATCATATTCAAGCATTAAAAACGTGCAACAAATGCTAAACTTGATTACAATGCTAAATAATCAATTTTCAATTACCTCAACTCATGACTATGTTAACCACATCCAAGAAAGGGTGTGAAAGAATGAGGCCACTGGTTTAGTGATGGCAAAAATAAATGTCTGAATCTAATGGTTGATGTCTAAAAGCTATACAACAGCATTGAAGGAATGGAAAAGAATGTGTGATTAATAACTGCAACTATCTTCAGGATTTTAAGGCCCTCAAACTCATCTGAATGAACCTGAAAAGATGAACATAATCAGAATCAGATCGTGAAGAAGTCGAACGAGGAAAATAAGACAAAGACTGAATGAAAAACTAAGCAAATAAGGTTCCTACCAAAAACTATGTCTCTATCCCAAGCTAGTTGGAATCGACTATATGAATCCTCAATATACATTTCACTCGATTTGGACACATTCCAGTATTAAATAGTTGAGTTTTTCTTACGATAAAGGTGCTCCAAATATTTTACTGGTATACACAGACATGTAAACAGAATATAAAGGCTCATAGCAAACACTGTCAACATGATTAAGCATTGGTTCATGTTAAATTTAGACTTACAAAGGAGTTCAATAACAACCTTGACATTCAACAACAAACTGACATGAGAGAGTACCAAAATGGTAAATGCGATGAAGAATGGAGGAAAAAATGACATATCCTGAGGTATCTGAAATATGTTAGAAGTTAAGTTTTAACAGCTTTTAGGAACATGGGATGGTTTAAGATGAATCTATATGGAGTTAATATGATAGAAACAGTAGCTCAGGATTCAAGAGATGGATTAAGCGTGTTGACAATAATCTTTCTCTTTAGAATGACTTCACAAAATTAAAATGAGAAATTGAGAATGGTTAACGAGGAGGTAACAGCACATCGATTCATTTCCTATTAGTTGCTTATTGCAGAAATAAACTACCAAACACTGTGTACCAAAAAAGATGAAGCTATAAATGCAATCATTCAACACTATTTTTTTTCCACCCAATCATTCAGTAGTATAATTACGCGCAAACTACCCAGATTCTGGAGAAAGTAATAACTGTTAAAACTATTTATCAACACAAAAAATTATCAATTGTCTGAGAACCTGGTAAATTATTAGTATCTAATTATAAACTTGAAGGTTAGTGTTGTATCAATAAACTGGAAGCTTAGCACGTGGAACTAAATAAGACCAGATAACAATCTGATAAAGTCATAAAACCAGAAGGGGGTAAAGGGATAATTAAGATCACCAACGAAGACAATACCTCATGAGAGAATGACAAGTCCAAGGTACATCGCTCCACAAAGAAATATAAAAGATATCATTCCCCTGAAAAATAGTCCAAGAAACAGAAGGATTTGTGATTCACAAATGACGACAAAAATTCCTCACATTCTTTAGTTAAGATTCGCATTGAAGCCAATACTAACCAGATAACTCCCCAACCAACACCATTACAAGGACAGGGACAGAGTTCAGCAAACTTCTCAGCATCACTTGAGTGCACTCTTCTAGATATTAAGTCATCATATATATCTGCAATGTCATATATAAGTCAGATAATATCATGCTACAAGAGAAAAATTAGATACTAGAGAATGGATAATCTATACCATAAACTGAAAACAAGCTGTTCATAACACCTGCAATTCACCAGAAGGAATATAAGCAACATAATAACTAAAACTAAAATGGAGAGAGAGGGTGGAGGACAGGATAAGTTCATACCTATGAAGAGAATTACATATCGAAGAATGCGAACTTTTGTTAGTTCTTGAAGAACCCATATTACAGCAATGAAAATGATAAATCCTGGCAAGTTGAGTCTCTGGGGATCAATGACTAAGCATAAAAGCAAATGTATATCAAGTATTGACATTAATCAAGATCTGATGTACAAACCGATGCAAAGTCCTCGCAGTGTCCACTGTTCAAGAAAGTAAAGCATGTAAGAGTCTGGAACTTCCTTTTCTTTTTTAAACTTTAGACAAGATATACAACGTAAAATTTGTGAAATTATACATATTATCCTATCTTGTGAAAAGTCTAATTTAAAGAGTGAACTATCTGCAGTCATTGTACAAGATTGAATTCAAGTTCTTTTACTTAGCCCCGTACATTTTTGGCAATGAAGAGCACAACAAAAAGAGCAGCGATGAAACAACCAGCGGCAATCTTTGCAGTGAGAAGATTTGTCGATGCAAGTATGAGAGCCATCCCCCAAAAAGACGAACCAAGATCTTCAGGAAAGTACAAAATTAATCAGCAAAACAAAAGGTAGGCAGAGGTTAAATTAACAAAGCAATCAGCATCTAGAAAAATAGCTTAATACGCATCATCAACTGAGAACTTGTGTAGGGGATACTTCATTTTATCTTTTGGAAAACAAAATAAGGAAGCACTTGAGATTTTGGAACTTTTGAAAACAAAGTAATTACATCCAGCAGGCAAGATCAACCAATAAACACCGCCACGTGTTTGTGTCACTCCCCCTTCATTGGCATGAACTTGCATTCCTTCCACCTGTATGTAATGGCAAACGGTAAACCATAAAACGAGTCGTTTAGAATACGAATTTACCGGTCTCAGCATTTAGTAGATAGTTTTGAACTTGAATTGACCAGGGAAACCAAATCATGTGCCACGATTTAGCATGGAATCATAGCTAAACCATGCCCCATCATTCTCGCTGACTTAGCCATATGGAATAATCAGACACTACTTTTTCTTGACAAGTTGCATGGCCATTATGTTTTAAATAACATCAATACATATGTGAGCAACTTTATCATTTTAGTATTATTTTTATCAATTTTTAAATTTTAGCACTATATTTTAACTTGAACAAGTGTGGGAGTTTTACGCCTATTAATACCAAATTAGATTATGCTTGAGTTTGATAAATTGATGATTGGTACCCAAGTAATCCAGGAACTCCATAACCTCTAGAAAGCTACAACTCAATATCTAAAGGACTTCTAAACACTAGAAGTCTAGTCATTTTCCTGCATCTCATAAATAACACATGCAAAGACTCAATGAAAGAGCAAAATAAAGAAACTTGAAGCTAAAGAGTAAAAGTCAAATTCATCTCCATAGATTTGAGCTTTATGAAGTGAATGCATGTCATGTGAATTAAGTAAAGTCTCAGGGGTGGATTCCTGTAAATATTGACATCTTAAATCTCTTTATTAGAACCAAAGAGCAGAAAAATTCACCCAATCGTACAGAACTGCATTCCATCTATATTAAAAATAAGGAAGTACTTTTGCTACCAATTGAAGCAGTTGAAGGCATAAACCGTCATATAAAATGATAGAATAAATTAGACCGATATCCACCAAATGTACAACTAATCTCTTGAATTATACATCTATTGCATCTAAATACATGACAAGAGAGAATTACCTGACCACATGTGAGCTTACAAGCGATTGCATGGCTTGCTTCATGAAGAAATACAGTAATGAGCTTGAAAGGTGTCAGGAGAAATGTCCTCCATAACTGTTTACATAGTTAGGAGGAAAAAAGAAGCAAAATGAATATGCAAATTTTTTACATAAAAGACAGACAGGAAGTACAAAAATGTTAGCAAATGCATGCATGAGAACATTTGTGGACATTCTATGGAAAGTATACAAAGTAAAACTAAAATCTAGTATATCATTTGCACATGACATGGTATTGCATTTTGTTAATGCTAGTAACCTCAAAGGCTCAAACATCTTATTTTATTCCCAAGACGACCAGTAACAACTCACCATAACAGATGAGGTGTTATGATGATCATCAGAAGCATATCCCGTAGTTAAATTTAATGGGTTCAATCTTGCATTGAATTCATTGTATACATAAAATTATGGGTCCAAATCTAACATTCGTTGAGATTTTATTAGTTTTTTACATGTTTATCCATACTCCATGTTGAAAATTCTGGACTTAGATAAACCTATAGCTAAAAGGCTACATCCGCCTCTGATGAACATATAGATATATCAAGGTTATCTTCTCAATTGCATATACCACCTCGAAGCAATTTACACATACGCTTCGGAGATGAATGCAGTGTTGTAACTTATAATCATTTGTAGGAATAGTAACTTACTTCGCTAAATAATTTTAACAATTACAAAAGCTCAACTACATGAGGATATTTCCGAGCAAGTGATCCTCGATGCTAAAGTATATTTGGTTACACACGTGGATGTACCTCAGCACTTTGGTTTTCCTAAAAAATGTAGAACTATTTTATGTAATATATGACTTTGAACAAACAACATGTGGACAAGTTCTCCCATCTAACAAAAATTATTGGATTAGAATTTTGAGTTATAACTTATAAGATACCTTTTGAAAACTTTGACGATACACATCGTGTCAGCCAATCAAAATTCTTGCTAAAGAGATTCATGAATTGCGAAGCAATAGCCACCTAAAGCCACTCTGACTTAATGAAAGAACACAAAATTCTAATCAAGTGATATTATTTCTGTATTTTTTCAATTTTGTTATCCTCATTTTGAGTTTTCATCTCTTCATGCAGTGTTGTAAAAGAGAAGATTACGACTAACTACCTATTTGAAAACCTCATGAATCATTATATCAACGTTTATACTTACATACACACATAATACAGACACTGATATTTATATATACATTATGAGGAAGTGGAATGAATGGAAAGGGGGGAGAAATGAAGGCATAGGGGTGAAGGCTATGTTGATTTTAATAGCTAAATTCACTCTCTATTTTAATTTATAAAATGTGTGTACACCTCGACAGGGCTCGACTATTTCATTGAATGCCTACATCCTCCAACGAGTATGCGTATCAGGTAACACTAGCCACAAAGGTTCCAACAAATGGAAAAAGATCACAGAGCTTTTTTTCTTCTCTACTGAGATTCGAGTCCTTGTCTTCTATGACTTTATTCCAGCTTCTTTAACCACTAGGCTATACCCTTGGGTGCTAGCTAAACTGTTCACTTAAAAGTAAATCCTATCAATAATTCCATAATTGGGAACAGAGTCCTAGACTAACCATTTCCTAATAACCACCGCTCCATTAGTAATTTCATAGGGTGTCAACCGGTAAGGACCAAAGCAAAAAGACACAAAGATAGACTACACTGAGGACATAAAAACATGCTCCTCTTTTCAAACTGAATCCTATTTTCATAATCATTTTCAGACATTCCCTTTTACCCCTGAACTTCATTTTGTGGCCAAGAATATGATTCTGAAGCTTTGAAGATATCGATATTGTTTATACACAGCCAACTTAAAAATGTCAAAGTCTAGGCTCTAGAGTGACTAATTTTTTTTTTATAAATTCTCTTTGTCACTTTTCTATCAAACAATACCAGTAATCTTGACAGGGACGGATATCCTGTACCAACTACGGATTCAGCTGAATCCAATAGCTATATCTCAGACTCTGTATATGTGTTTAGGAATCTACTAAATATGCATAAATCTCAAATCTCAAACCCAATAACTCAAATGGTAAGTGGCTTCGGTGGCATTTTAAACTCATAAAGTTTAAATTCTGAATCCGCCTCTGAATCTTGAAAATGTGCATTGCTCCTAGTTAGTCACAAAAGCCAGGAACATATAACTACCAAAAGTTAGCCTAAAGCTCTTTCCTTTCAGGTCTCAATATACTAATTAAGAGCAAAATTTGATCCAAAAAGAAGGGACAATATTCCATGCTCCTAAAGCAAAAAATGTAAAGAATTTTTACACCATCAAGTCACATTTACTTGTTGTAGCAGGTAACTTTTTTATTTTCAAGATTATAAATCTCACATTTTAAGGAAGTTTACCTGTACATTTCCTTTAGGTAACCTAATAGTTTAAAAAATTCTTTCTAGAGTGACGGTATATACAACTTAAACTCAATGTAAAAACCAAAAGAAGTGTATAGAAAAAGAGACTTACGACAAGAATGACGACGGTGAAGACACCAATGGTAACAAGAAAGATCTTTTGATCACGGTTACAACAATCCCTGAGTTCCCAATTCGGATTCATCCTTTTTTCGCCAACCCCAATTGCTTAAACCCTCCAACGCTTCAACCTTTTCTGCTCCTACAAACAAACTAAACCTCAATTCCAAATTAGTTGGTATCGGCTATAAAAATCTCAAAGATTTTTGGTTCCACCAAACAGTTGAAAAATTCAGCTTTTCAAACTGAGACTTTGTTTAATGGGTTTATTCAACAACCCAGTTGGCAATTGCGCGTAACCGTTCACCACTGTAACAGTGACCGGAGAAGATTAAAACGACAACGTCTTGTCGTTTATTTTTTTAGAGATTGTTAGGTGAAGTTGTTAACTGTAAATGGATTTTTTCAATCAATCATCTCTTCTTCTTAACTAAGTAAACACAGCAGACTTTTGTCGTTTACTCTGTCAATGTTCTTTCCTCGTTAGGCCAATATTTGATTGCCACGTGGATCGTTTTGTACACTTAGGCCCAATAGAAAGGCAACTTTATATTTCAACTTTGTAATTCAAATTTCCTGGACCCCATTCAATTAAAGAAAGGAAATGCAGAAACGAGTTGTTCGTCCGGAAAGGGAAGGTACAATCAGTTTGAATTTTTGATTGCTCATCTAAAATACCGGAAATTGTATAATAATGTTATTTTTGTTATAAAATATAGCTCAAAATAACAATATAGAACAGAGAAAAACAAACTAAGAGATATAGAGAGAAATAGAGGATAGATTCTTATTCTTTTTTCAATTGTGTGTCTTTTCCAATCTATTATAAGGCTTTTATATAAGTATGAAAAGTGAAGAATCACTATTGTAAAATATGTCATTGAACATATCATTAAATGTTTGAGAGGAAGATTATGGAGTAGGTTATGGAGTTACAATCATAACTCCATAATTATTAGAGTATTGGGAGTTATGGAGATAATGAAGAAAAATAGACATCCACCATAATTTAATTTTCTTATAACACTTCTCCTTGGATGTGCATAGATAATGTGTCTCGTTAAAATCTTATTAGGAAAAAACCCTATGGAAAAAAAAATCCAGTGAAGGAAAAAGAATACACATGTTTAGAAATACGCCTTTTGGTTGCCTCGTTAAAAAACTTGCAAGGAAAACCTGTGGGACAAAACCTTGTAAGGGAAAAAGAGTACAACACGTATTAACTCCCCTTGATGAAAGCATCAATTCACATCCCTGAGCCTTCGCATCCCAATCTTGTACACTAGTTTCTTGAAGATTGATGTCGGTAGAGATTTGGTGAACAAATCAGCCATATTATTACTTGAACGAATCTGTTGCACATTGATATCACCATTCTTTTGAAAATCATATGTGAAAAATAACTTTGGTGAAATGTGCCTTGTCCTATCTCCTTTTATGAATCCTCCCTTCAATTGGGCTATGCATGCTGCATTGTCTTCATACAAAATTGTGGGTAGTTTGTCATACTTCAAACCACATTTGTCTCGAATAAGATGTATTATAGATCTCAACCATACACATTCTCGACTTGCTTCATGAATAGCAATTATCTCAGCATGATTAGATGAAGTGGCCACAATTGATTGCTTAGTCGATTGCCAATATATGGCAGTGCCTCCACATGTAAACACATAGCCATAAAATAAGGCCATATCAGTAGTCCCTTTTAGATACCGCAATATGTGTTTGATTCCATTCCAATGTCTCCTTGTAGGAGCAAAGCTATATCTTGCTAAGACATTAACTGAAAAAGTTATGTCATGCCTTGTAGTGTTAACAAGATACATTTGTGCACCAATTACACTAAGATATGGTACTTCAGGACCAAGAAACTCTTCATTATTTTTATGAGGTCGGAATGGATATTTATTTATATCGAGTGATCTTACAACCATCCGGGTACTCAATAGATGTGCTTTATATATCCATATAGAATCGCTTTAAAATTTTTTCAGTGTATGCTGATTGATGGACAAAAATTCCATCTTTCATATACTCAATTTGTGGACCAAGACAAAAATTTGTCTTTCCAAGATCTTTCATTTCAAAATTTTTCTTTAAACAGTCTACTACTTTAGGAAGCTCGCAGGAGTTCCAATGATATTTAAATCATCAACATACCCGACGATTATAACAAATTCAGATCTTTTTATAAGGACAAATTAAATCATTCTTGTACCATTCTTTCAATAGGTACTCACTCAGGCAGTTATACCACATGCGCCCTGATTGTTTCAATCCGTATAAGAATTTTTGAAGCTTTATTTAATAAATTTCTTGGAAACTTTAATATGCTTCAAAACAATTTAATTCCTTCAATGATTTTCATTATACGCATATCAAGTTTTTCATGTATTGCCAGATTAAAATCTGAAATGACTACATCCACCACAGGAGAACATGTCTCTATATAATCAATGCCAGGATATTTACACAAGTCGTGTTTATATCTATCGACTTGAATTTGTTTTTTTTCGCACAATAACACATCTATACCTCCACTGGCTTTATACTTTCAGGTGTTGGGACTATCCGTCCAACTTCACATTTTTCTCAATTTTCATTGCGTATTTTTCATTTGGCCAATCATTTATGTGTCCAAATTTCATGACAGATTTGAGCTCAAGATCCTCGTCAATATTAATAATATTGAGCGCTACATTATATCAACAATATCGTCGACGATCATTTTTCATCGGTTCCATCATCACTCAATAAAGACATAACTTATCGAGATCTTATTATTTTCAGGTACTTGAGCCTCTCCCATGAGATCTTATGAAGTTTTATGTCGTGGTGCTCTTCTAGAGCACTTGTCTCCTTATTATGACTATCTTGAATATTTGCTCCTCTCCTTCTTCAAAAAGTTTTATCTTTGAAACCGATTGGTCTGTTACGCTTCTTGCATGCCATAGACTCTGTCCCTCATGGACTTTATTCTATTTGGAGTATTAGCAGCTGAAATATGATATTTAGCTTTGGGTCAGTATATGCGTCTGGCAATAATTTGCAAATGAATTATCACTTGAACTTCAGGTTCATATTTTCTTGTACGAGGATCTATATGTATTCATAATAATTCATTCCACGTATCACTTTCTCAGCTGTCCATTTTCTCCCCATAATGTTGGGACCACCAACACATTTCCCAACCTTCTTTGGGAACCCATCTTTGTGCATTGTGGTGGCATAATTAAATCATATAGCACATCCATATTTCTAGATGAAAATTATTTGGTTCCTGACCTTGAACCGATTGTGATAGGGAGTATTTATCATAACTTGTTGGCTAGATGCGTACAAGTTCTACTGTCTATTAAATAATACACCTCATACCAAATTTCTTTTCATGAGTTTTGTTCTCATAACCAATGATTTAGCTATAATTGGAGGCATACAATTTCTGCTAAACCAACTTGGATTTAAACCAGCATTATCAAGATAAATTATCATAATTTATATTCTGGAATTATGCTCTAATAATTTGAGCAAACAACCTTGCAAGAACCAAACCGCAAGTTGGTAACAAACGCACATGTGACCATACAATAGATGCATCTATTAAAATCATATAATAGTAAACAGTCTTCATGGCAGGTGACTGGGCCCATATATATATCACCTTTTATTCGTTCCAGAAATCGAGGGATTCAATCCCAACCTTAACTGGTATATCATGAGAATAAGCAACATAAGAAAATTTCTCAAGAATCTTCCATTTCTTCAATATATGCCAATGTGAATTTTCAATCAATTTTCGCATCATAATTGAACCGGGATGGCCAACCGGTCATGCCAACTAATATTTATTTCAGTAAACCTCTAGTTTACTTGTGGCATGTGATTCCATCATCATGCTTATACTTGTGTAGTACAAATATGTCATGACCCAAAATCCCACCACAGGCGTCGTGATGGAACCTAGTCTCTAAGACTAGGTAAGCCGATTTCAATTATATTTTTGAAGCCATTTGTTTTTAATTAAATAAGTAATCAAAACTAACAGCGGAACAAATATGAATATACAACCTCCCAAGACTGGTAGTACTGAGTCACGAACTCTAACTGAATACATGGAATTATCACAAAGACTGAATATACAATACTGTTTGATTAAAAATTAACAGTACAATGAAATGAAAAGACTCCAAGGGACAGCGATGACCAAGCAGCTCTACCTTGAATCCTTACGATCCTACTTTAACTCTGCTCAAGTCTGATATCTCCAATACCTGGCTTTGCACAAAAATGTGCAGAAGTATAGTATGAGTACACCACGGTCGGTGCCCAGTAAGTATCAAGACTAACCTCAGTGGAGTAGAGACGAGGTACAGTCAAAACACTCACCAGTCTAATAACCTGAGCAATATAATATAAAAAATAATAGGAAACAAGTAACAATAAGGGCAACATAAAATAATCAGTGATATGCACAGTAGACAATAAGAACATCATTAATATCGCTCAATAATTAATAATTATAATTACACCCAATTAAATCAATTCCTTCAAATAAATGTCTTTCACATAAAATTCTTCCAAATAACTATTTTTCAAATATAATTCTTCAAATAAAAATTTTTCAAATATACTTCCTTTGAATAAATTTCTCTCAAATATAATTTCTTTAAATAAATATCTTTCGAATGTAATCCTTTCCAATAAATCTTTTTGCATAAAAATCCTTCCAATTAAATATTTTTAATATAATTCCTTCAATTAAATAGTCACTATGTGACACTTCATTTCATAATCATTCAACCATGGGTCTCAGCCCATTTTCATATTTTTCATATTTTCACGGCACTTCGTGCCCATAATTAAATCATTATATTTCCCTGGCACCTCGTGCCCTCATTTCATATCACAACTGCACGGATAATTCCCGTGTCAATATCCTCATTATCTACTCACGGCACCTCATACCCATATTTCATTTTTATAATTCGCCTGGCAATAGCCACAGGCTCCCAATTTTAACATAAATCAGATTATTATAAATTTACCAACAATAAGACAAATTGCACAAGTTATAAAAATAACACAAGAAAAATCACAACATCACATAAAAATCACCAATGCAACCACTCCTCATCATTACATACCATCCCTGACAATAGCCACCCTTATTTCTCATATAGCCACCCTTATCTCTCCTATAGCCACCCTTATCCCTCCGCCATGACAATACCAATAGCCACCCTTATCGCTCATATTTCCACCCTTATCGCTCCTATAGCTACCCTTATCGCTCCGCCCAGACCATATTCCAACAAACACAACAACAGTGAAATGCCACCCTTATACCCACATAATATCAACGGTGAAATGCCACCCTTATCTCCTCAAAATAATAATTCACACAA